GCGTGCTCCCGGCGCGGCCGAGGAAGCGGGAGGAGCGGCCTCCAAACACACCAGAGGCCCTGCCTTTGGGAAGGTGCCCTTTCTTTAGAACCGCATTGGAACGGCCTGCCTGGGCGCTCTGAAACATTCAGGCAGGAGAGTTGTCTTTTCTACTTCCATGTTTCTGATCGGACAGGAAATGAGCTGTCTTCCTAGCTGGGCGGCTGGGGCGGGGTGAGGGAGGTTAAAGAACAAAACAAAACCCCAAACATAAACTGACACCTTCAAATTAATCCGAAGTGTTCACACGCTGGAACACTAAACACTGGAGATCTTACAAATTTAAGCCAAGAGCTGAAGCACTTTTCAGTATTCCAATTTATGCGAAGTTCATGTGCTAATGTTTTTCCTCTTTTTGTTACACCTACTGCTAATCATTTTTCTCCACCACGTTTGCCTGCTGTGGCTACCAATGAGGCTTGCACAAGAACAAAAAGAAAGAAGCAGATGCTAGGGCATAAGCGGAGCCAAACCGCACTCCTTGTAAATCACCTTCCCTTTTTACGCATCACATTAGCTAATGGTGTCAGCACCTTCAGGTACATTCACCTTCAGAAGCTGACTGCTTTTTAAAACAATTCCAAGAAAAACAGGGGCGGGGGAAAGGCTAGGAAAGAGAAAGGCGAGCTGTGCAAGGGGAATGTTAATGGCGCCCTGTCACTAGTGCTGTCTGCATTGGCGTGCAGCCTGAGACTGGCGCATCAGCCTAAGAAATGACCAGCAGACAGAGTAACGTACGTGACCGTGTCTGCGCACGCCATGCGGAGATGTATGACGCCAGGTACAAACCTCCGTTTTGAGGGGGAATGCAGAATTACAAAGAGGTGAGGTATTCAATTGCAGGGTCCTTCTATAAGCCAGTACTTTGTGCAACTCATAGCAAGGAATCACAAGTGGATGAGAAAGTTTCCACTTTTCAGGTTCGCTCACTGCCCTGATTCCCTCAACACATTGGAAAGCCGCACAGATATGTCTCACTGCAGATCCTGAGTATATGATAATAAAGAACTTGTAACGGTCCTAACTGCATTTCAAACCTACTGTTTTCTTAAATTAACATACGTTAAAAATAAATAAATTAAAAAAAATAGCTGAATCCTGGCCTCTGTCTCAGCTAGTAAGAAAGAGATGTACCAGAGGTGAGAAATATCTACAAAAAAAAAAAAAGTTAACATTACACTGGAGTAGAGGCCATCCATGATGCTATTTAAAATGCTATGATAAAATATAATGCTAAAAATGCTACAATAAAACTAGATTGCTTTCTTAAACACCTTTCTAGAAGGCGAGAAATTATACCATGGGTTCTTGTCATTTCTTAACTACCTAAAACCTCTAAAAAGAATTAGGGACTGAGACTAAGGAATCAGATGTATTGGGAGAAATGAATAGAGTTGAAAGCCAAGTCTCTCCAAATTGCTTGGATACAGCTTTCTTCAACTAAAGTCTGAAATACCTACCCAAGTTTATCCCAAATGCCTTACTTGTCATGTAACCTTGTAACACCTCTGCCTACCATAATTTATTCTCAGCTGTCTCAGCCTGACCTTGACCCCAGTGTGAGCTGCCCTAGGACATTTCAATTTATTGGGAGCTGTCTTAATTTTCCCATTTTAGCAAGGAAGCAAAACAGTTTGCTAAGAGACAATTTCAGTCAGTTCAAACATATTCCTACTACCCATGCATTTAGGTGAAAATAGCACTTAAACAGCTATGATAGATGCAGTTTATTTTCTGAGGTCAGTTCTTCCCCCTCCCCAAGCTCCAGTGCTATCCTGCTTTTTTTGGACCTACCTCAATCACACCAGCCTCCCTGAAATATCCTCTTCACCCAATTAGTTCTGAGTTGCCATCCCTAGTTTCTAACTTCCCAGACCAACTCAACTCCAGCTCCTGCTACTCCAGTGTTCCTGATGCCTCTTTATTGTTCAAAAATGTCCAAAAATATCATGGCTTGCTTTGATCCATTCCAAGAGCCCCAGAATCATCCCTTGCTGAACTGAGCCACTTCAGCATTAGATGGTCTTTTCTGCAGGAAAGAATGTGCACAGTACAAATTAAGATGCAGGTCATGTCAAAGTCCTGGAACAAAATCTGCAGTTCCATCTCTCCCCACCCCTCCTAGTCCTCTGCAGTGCCCTGCATCTCCAAGTGCCAGCTCTCAGACAGCTCCAAGTGAGTCACAGGAAAAGTGCAGTTTGTTAATACTGACACAGCCCTTGGCCCAACTGGTTGTATCACTAAAAGGATTTTGCATCTGATGAATTTCAACTCATCAGTAGAGGTCTCTGAGCAGAATGAGGGAAGCTGCTGCCCTGTATGTTTCCGATTAATACAATTTCTCGGAAGGTGCCGGGGGATCCATCAACAGTCCTAACTAAATGCAACCCAATGCATGACAGGGAGTGGCTGTCACTGGGCAAGGGGTGACAAGCAGGCTTGGCAGGATGGTAACGGGGCAGATGGCTGCTTGTCTACCACAGCACTGTTTAAAGAGCGTTGTCCCACACTGGCTCTGTTCCAATCCAATTTATCCTGTTCCCAGCCCTCCAGTTGCCTGTTCTTCCATGATCTATTGTTTCCTAAACCAGTAAAAACTGCCCTCTACCAAGGTGAGGGAGGCGCATTTTTGCTGATTCTCCAGCTACTGCACTTTGCAGATTATTTCCAGGCAAAGAGAAATCTCATTCCTCTTTCTCTCCAAACATATACACTCACTTGGCACTTGAAATATATCACTCAAAGAGGATCCAGAGATCTTAATTCAGTTTGAAAATTACTTCAGCAACTCAAATAAGACATTTTTTTCCAGTTCTAAAAATTATCAATCTTAAGTATCAAAAAACCCCAGTAATTTTCAATGAGGCTATTTCATTCTTAGAAATTGCATTCCTTGTGAAAGCTGGAAATACAGATTGCCAGTTCAGCAAATAAAACACTTGTCTTTTTTTCCTGAAAATAAGACAGCATCCAGTATCCCTGTTCTGGCAGAAGTATGGTAACTTTGGCCTGTCCAATGCAATAGATTTGACTGCTGTATTATCAATCTTCAGCTGGATATTTGTTCTCTCTCCCTCACCTCTGAGAGGGCAGGAACTTAATCTAGCTTGTTGCATCAGTTCTCCAAGACATATCCTCCACAGAACATAGAACTGTTTCATACAAGGTGCTACAAGCAGGAGATACCTATTTTTAGTTCATTAATGCTAGGAAATAAAGCTGTCTTGACAGCTTTGAAATCATTCCTGCAGTCACACAGAAAAAAAAAGGCAAAATGTGTGACAAGCAGTGGTGTAGTGACTCACCCTGTTTTGCAGAGGCCAAGTAAAGGGTTTATAGGGGTAAATCTCTTTAATCTCTTTACCACTTTAATCTTTGATAATTTTGCTGAAACTCCTGGTTAGTTTCAGTTATGTTTTTTTTGAGTAAGGGCACCTGCACAATTAGAACTGGATCAAGATGCTGTTTACACTTCAAGCCTTCCAACAGTCACAACATAAGTGATGATATTCAGCCACTATCCAGTTGGTCTGGATTTAAAGCTGTGAAGGGAGAAATCCACTGTTAGCATTCAAAAACTTGTACAATCCAAAATCTTTCTTTAAAATACTAATAGCAGTTGCAGTCTCCTTCCTCCTTGTTTGCATTCACGTATTTGTATTAACAAAAAGACAGCCTGGATCATAAGTTTAATTCACTTTCGCTAAGGTTGGCAGTAGTCTTTGGATGTTATATAGTAATCCTTTAAAATGTATAATTATGTTAATTAATCTCTAGTAGCAGAAGAACTGAATCTTAAGTGGCCCATTCTCAGAAAGAAAGCTTTGACAAGATGCATAGGAGGAGGCATCCCAGAATGGTTAAGGTTGGAAGCGACCTCTGGAGATCATCTAGTCCAACCCGCCTGCTTCAGGAGGGACACTTAGAGCATGTGGCACCCAGTCACATCCAGGCGGGTTTTGAAGATCTCCAGAGAAGGAGATGTGAGAGAGAAAGAGAGAGAGAGAGAGAGAGAGAGAAAGTGAAAGAGAGAGAGAGAGAGATGGCACTGTGCTTGGCAGATAAGCACAGTAAGGCTTTAGGACATCACTAATCAACAAATGTTTCAACAAGTGCTATAATACTCATACTTACTATTGGTGCTTCCTCCTCCCACTCCTCCAAGGACAATACATTAACTGTAGCATATGTAATTCAGGTAACAGCAGATTAATGACAACAACACCTTAATTATAAAACTCAGTCCCAGTTCAATTATAGGATAAAACAGAAAAAGCAGAATGTGTTGCTACATACAAAAAGCAATACCAGATTTTTTCTCCTGGCTATCCTACCAAAAATGTCTGTGAGAAAGGCTTACGGGACAGTGCTAATTAAAAAGAGCAAACAAAGGAAACAATCATTTTCCATACAGAAACATCAAGAGAAATGAAATAGAGGGCATTAATTCAAACAATTTATTTAAATCTCATTAAGCTGTTCAGTAGAAGATCGTATTCAAAATTAAAGCAGCCTTAATTTGTTTTATCTTTTCATAATGTGCTTGAAAAGGAAATTTAGTCCTGAAAACACCCATCTATAATCTCCAGCTGACTTGAGTAATCCACGTGAAAAATTAATTCAGATACTTTCACTTAAGTATCTCTGTATAGGTAAGCGCTGAGTAACTGAAGAAAAAAGGATTGTAAACCGGTGAGTGCATCTTAGCTGATGAATCATTTCTTACTACTATTATTTTTATTATAAAGATGCAATTGCAAGTTTCCCCCTATTTTATATTAACAACAAAAAAAAAAGTGAAATTGATGTACAATTTAGGTATTTTCCACATCTACAACAATCCAGTGACAGCTGGGTGTTTCATGACTTCTCTGTCAAAGCACCTACAATTTAACACTGCAATATTGTCTATCTGCTGAGAGGCAAACGTTGAGATGGGTATCATTGCCCACATTGATACCATGTTTACACTACTCTGGATGGGAATTTGAAGAAAGAAGTAAGATGAAATGATCCATCTACAGTTAAGCACCAAGTCAAGGACTTGATTAGGGACAGATACTGTTTTACTCCTGTTTGTAACTTTTACCAGTATGTTTCATTTTTGTTTGTAAGAGATAAAGACTGCAACAAAAATGATCTACACATCACTACTTACTTTTACGAACTCCAGGCACGGACCAGGACTATATTGTGCTAAGACATAGATGTAAAACAAACTCAGTACTTCCAATTCTGATTGTCCACCTTAAGAGAAAAAGACAAGAAGATCTGAAATCAAAGTAATTGGACCACTGGACAGGCGCCATGCCTAAAATGTGTTTGGGTTTGCAGAAAGCTGCTGACACTGGGAAAGAGCAAATCCATAAAGACCTCTGAATCCTTGGCATTAGGGAGGGAACAAGAAACAATCACAGCTGGGAAACTTACAGAAACTTATAACTAAAACATATTAATTCTACTCAGGTTCTACACAATATCAGGTAACGTATTTATATTTTAAAATACTTGATTTAAAGTTGGGAATTGAATAATTTAGGTGTGGTCCCATTCACATGGCACCTGCAAAATCAGCAAAAGAAGAAAATTAAGCAGAAATTGACACACCCAAAACCATTCCTTTACCATGAAAAGTAAGAGTTTAAAGCATATTTACTTGGGGAGAATAATTTTATTACTGATATTGTTTCATAAGGCACAACTGTTCTCCACAGACATCAGCCTTTTGCAATTCCTTCATTGAAAAAGTTTTTTGTTATTAGCAGCTAAAAATATATCTTAATGAGGAGAATAAGTGATTGGTAAAATACAAAAACAGCAATGTATGTTTTAAAAAATAAAAAATCCCTACAGGGAAATAACCTAGGCTATTTGAGCAGAGTCCAAAAACTTGCTCATCTGAAGTCACAGGGAAGTGTATACCAAATACACAAGGAGAGTAAATTCTTCTTTTGACCCAGATGTTGACACCTGTAGGTCAGCAGTAGCTTCACCCTCCTTGAATTCAAATCCCAGCAGTGTATAACATCTGCACAGCTGAAATCCAATCACAACAGGGACTGTTGTCTTCTGTTGGACTTCATCAGAAAAAAAAGTCTCTGAAATAGTTTTTCTACTATTTCAAGGCAAATATTTAGAGTGAGGTAAGAATTTTTACTCTCAACTTTCAACATAATTTTCAAGTCAATGTCTTCCAAAGATGACTCAGTGATGCCTGGTCCTCTTGAGAAAAATCTCGTGCATATAATCCCAAAATCTTCCCTGATGCGACTCATTGTGATGAATCATAGCAGTGAGAGCCTCACCCTGATCAAGACTTTGCCAATAATCCTGCAGCCACATCTCTTTCCAACTGAAACATAAAAAAAGACACCACCATAAAGCATAAAAAGTACTATGTGCAGGTTTAACAATACTAAAACCATTTTTTATTTCATCTAAGAGGAAAACAGGTCAGGGAAGCTCTTGACAAATTATGATATTACTGGGCCATTTTGCTCCACATAAAGAAATCGGCTACATAATTCTCTCTGGAAAACCATCTCACTGTTGGCTTTAAAACTTTTCCAAATTTCAGCATGTCTAATGTTAGTCATCCTACAAACTCTAAAGGATAAAATCTTATATTAAATTAAAATCTAGCAGAGAAACTTTACATGACTGAGTGGTTTTCCATGACCAATACGTTTCAAACTATAGTTCAGACTGAAAATCAGCTTTTTTTTTCAGACAAACCATTTAACAGTTAAGAGACTTGACAGCTAATTATTATAAAAATCAGGTTATACATGACACAGAAAAAAAGCTTTATCATTTAAGCCTGACTGCGTACTTAATCTCCAGACTAGGTTGCTGAGTACACACTTTCCTTTTTCAATGCATGCATTCTCAAACTTCTCCTAGCACAGAGTGCCTTATAATATCTTCAAGCAGCTCCTTTCCCATACGTGATTGTGTGGGCTACGCTCATTTGTATTACATCGAAGGATGGCAATAATTTATTTGGCTAATAATTAATGCTCTTCCTTTTCATGATAGACCTAATTATTACACACATTACCTTCTCTTCTCTACTGTATCTGCGATGTATACGAGCTGTATAAGAGTTACGCAATAATTGCTACACTCGTGAATAATGGTTACAGGGCATGAAAAGGCCATATTGTAGCCATACTGCAATTTGGTAGTAGCTCTTAAAATATATAAACTCCAAATGCTTTTGCAGTCCTCTGTGGTCCAGAATCCTTCAGCACCCAAAGTCGCTGTGCGTTTAAAGTCAAGACTTTGAGCTGCATTTATTCCATATCTTACACTCTTACTAGGCTTGTGTCACTTCTCCATGATTAATGTTTTGTAAGGAAACAAAACATGAGATTGACAAGCTCATTAGGCATTCACCCAAATTAACCATGCTGTTCTTGTAAACTTACTGTCAAACTCTGGCAAAAGACAAGCATGTCTGTGCAAATACAGAAGAACAGAAGTAAGCTAACACTTCAGTGGCAACTGTATCCTTCTGTCACTTACAACTCTAAAGTGACCACATTCCACCATCGAAGCTCAGATGACTGCAAGGTGGAGAGCACTGCATTTCACTGGGAGCTCTTAATCATACCTTGCAGTTTAGATACACGTTATCTTTCTAAAGTGGATGGCAGACAGTGGAAATGCTCCAGACACATCTCCACGAATGGGAGGGAGTAACACTACTACGGTTCAACAGACATGGAAATCTGCAGCATGGAAATGGGCTGATACACAAAATCTCCTTGCACAGAAGACTGAAGTATCTTAATTTGCAAGTAAGCAGCATAGAGAACCCAGATCGTGTCCTCAAAATTATTTCCTTAGTGCCATCTGCTGCTCAAGTAGAAGAAATTTTGTGAAAAAGCAGAGAATATTCTTTATATAGAGTAGGATGAGGGCAGAGCACATTTTCCTACAAAGGCAAAGTATTAATATAAAAGCTCCAATAAATAAATAAACAATCAACCACCAAAAACAAGGGTTACAAAGGCATGTAAGGGCCTCCTCTACTTGCAAGCATCATTTTAACTAGCCAATTTATTAATCGTACTGTGAAAAATACTTTGTAGTGACAAACATCGAGGCAAAGTTAGCTTAACACTTCATATAGCTAAACAGAATCCCAGGAATCTGAAACCTGTGGCAATAAATTGTTAGACACAGGCAAAATCTGCTATGGCTTAAGGTTTAGCTTCCACTGTCTGACAGAAGAGAGCCACACAAAATTTAAAGTGTCTTCTACCATATTTACAAGACCTAACTTAGGTCTAACTTCTGCTCTGATGGATGCCATCAGAAGCAAGCTAGGCTCACACTGAGTACTTTTACAGCTACTATGTGTAAAGCTTTTTGCTTCAAAAAGCATGGTATTGGTACATTACCTGTCTCCTCCAGAGATATCTTCAACGCTTCCAAACCCAGGAGTTGGCATAGGACATCCCATATGCTTGAACTGAGCAACTCGAGGTTTGGGAGCTGGAAATTTCTTACCAGACTTTCTGTACTCCTGTTCTTCTTTGACTCGGGTATTCTCCCTGTCACAGACGAAACACTCGAAGCCATTCAAGTAGTTGGGCAGAGTCATATCATTCACACCCCACTCCCGCCTCTCCAAGCTCTCAAGCAGGAACTGGTTTTTGATTCCACCAGGCTTTTTATACTCTAAATACTTCAAATATTCCTCTCCGTTCTTGTCCAAGAAATCAAGATACTTTGCCAGCTCTTGAGGGCTGTTAAAGTCATCTATGAGAATGATGGAGAGGTTGTTTGGCATCCAGTCTCGCACAACAGGAGAGCCTCGGTATACAGGGACAGCACCCAGATGCATTGGGCGCCACAGTTTCTCAGTCATGTAGTCATTACATATGGCATTTTCTAAGGCCAAGTGAAACTTGTATCTGCCAACAAAGGTCATGAATTCAGAATCTTCTGTAGTGGCTGTAGAAGTGTCTCTCAGTCTCTCACTAGGAAGCTCACGGTTATGCAGGCATTTCCCATAGGAATCAACCTAAAATAACAACAGTTATCTCTTCAAAAGTGATTTATGTTCACTTAGAGCTTGTTCTCAGAGCCTATAGCTCTCAAAGTTCTAGTGACCTTAGCTTAGCCTCATTTTCACTCTAACCTCATTCCATTTTGGCAAACAAAAACATTGTAGGACTTCTCAAATTAACCAGCACACCTTAGTACTTCACAAGTTAAGGCTCAACCATTTCACAGTCAGTTTGAAGCACCAGTGATGCTTCTAAGGGAGCAACTTTTCTTTACGCTAACTTACAAGGCTCCAGAGATTTCAGCACTTCATCTAGGAGACCAAATTTATTAGGGTGGAGCCTAATCTGTGACTGATCCTGCAGTTTGACCATCTCTGTGACTAAGAGCTATGTTGAGGCCTACCTACTGGCGTGAGGTGCAGTCTAGACCACGCTTTTTGGAAGGAAGGCAACTAGTTTTGCTGTCCAGCGCGTAGTCGGAGCACTTCCTGTTACAAATCATCTTGGCTAAAAACGAGCACAAACAAACCCTGTTAAAAGGAGGTCCCGGAGACAGTGGCCAGGCTGGCCTAGCTCCTACAGTGACACGGTGCCCCAGCTTCCCTGTGCAGCACACCTACCTGGATGTATTTCATGAGCTCCCGCACGTATCGGTCCCTGTCTGAGGGCACATCGCAGTGGGACTGCATGTAGAGCACGGGCGCGTAGCCCTGCCTCCGCCACGCGTCCTTCTCTGCCAGGGGCACGGGCGGGCGCCGCAGGTAGCCGGCATCGGGCAGCCACTGCAGGGTGAGGGGGTAGTCGGACTCCCGGCGGAAGGTGGCCGTGTAGTTGAAAAGGCCGATGCCGGGGGAGTGCGAGAGCACGTAGTTGTTCATCGGGGACTCTTCGTGGAAGAGGGCCCAGGTCTGGTGGGCCAGGCGGGGCAGCGGCGCCTCATAGGCCCTGAAGTCGGTGCCGTAGAAGATGAGCGCCTTGGTGCGGCGGTGCTGCGCCGCGCGCCGGCTCCGCGTGGCCAGGCAGGAGCCGCGCGGGCAGTCGATGCGCTCCGTATCGCCGGGGAAGTGCGGGAAGAGGCTGCCGCTCCACCACAGCAGGATAGGCAGCGCCTTGTTAGGCCGCGTATCATTGTTGCCGGGGCCGCGGTAGGACGGCGCGGCCACAGCGCCGAAAGCCGCGGCCGGCGGCACCG